TAAGAAGACTGGAAAACATTGAGAATAAATCTTAATGGGGACGAATTCTTCCATGCCAGCATTTCCCCCTTAGACACACACACACACACACACACACACACACACACACACACACTGGTCTGGGCACTCTGCACCAGAGCAGGAGTTTGCAACACACCCCCAGAGCTGACACTTGCTTTCCTCCTCAGCGTCCGGACTCTTCCAGTTTCTTAACAAAACCTTTAGAATTTGGGGAGAAAGGAACGGTAACACTAAATTGTCATTTTATAAATGATGAAATGGAAGCTTAGAGAAAGCAGGAAGTCGCAGCCTATAAAGAATACGGTAGCTAGACATCTTCTACTCTCTGCCATAGAGCTGCGGTCAAAACAACAACAAAAAGACTTTGGCTTAAATCTTAGATAGGGGGTGTGTCCCTGTGCATTAATTAGAAAAGTCCCCCACAAAAATGGTTTTTAACCTTCTATGGGACCTGAGCGCCTCCGGGAATCTACAGAAAGCTGTGAATTCTTTCCCCCAAAGGGAGCCCAGAAGGGCACAAACAATTTTGCCTATAATTTCAGAAACTTGCTTTTAAGTGTTGGCCGTACGGTTATGCAAAATAATTCAAATCAGCTTTTACAGACATAGTCCAAACCTGAAAACTTTCTGTGGGAGGAGGGGGTTTGCAATAGTGAGTGAAAAACGATTACAATACCGTTTTTTTTCCCCTATTTGAAACAAAACACGAAATTATGATTTGTTGGGAGGCGCATGCAGATTAAAATTAAATGTATTTATCCTCCTGCTACCACAGCCAGATGATAACACTATTTAGGGTTCCAAAGTGTCCTACAAACGGGCCCCTGCACTAAAAATACCCTAAGGACACACTGCAAGCATCGCCAGCCTCTATCTGCACGAGTGGCTTTCACACCCTGTACCAACACCACATTCAGTAAAGGCGAGTCTACGCCACAGGAAGGCACAGGAAATATTCACACTGTTTACTGTCATTTACACACCTGCAATTGAAGATGATACCTCTTTCCCCTGAAGGAAAGATATTGCATTCACGTTGTGGCATTAAGTTACTGAGTTTCTAATGATACCTTTCACTTGAGAAAAATAACGATTATCCAAAAACTTGCCTGCTGATTTAAGGGTCCGTAGTTCTTCTTTTTTTACCTCTGAGGATTCCGGGGAAGGGCTAGAAAACTGCTCTGCCTTCGGTGGGGATGGGATTTCCCTCCGGGTGACCTCTGCGTGCCCGAAGGCCCTGTTTTACAGCGGGGACTCTGCAAGCCGGGTAACATGAGCTGACTCCCACTGCAAATAGCAACGCCTGCCGTGAGTGAGAGCCCAAATATAGACCTGCCTCGGCTGTCCTGCCACTTCTTACTGCTCAAGTGACACCGGGCGAGGTCACATGCTGTCCCCCCCCCCCCCCCCCCCCCCAGCTTCTTCGTTTACTGTGAGGACTTGAGGCCTGTAGCCCCACCGAGCTGCTCAGGTGGTTGGTCACGTACAGAGCGCTGGGGGCACCACAGGCCCTACAGAGAAGGGGGGTTTCCGAGAGCCCTCCTATTGTGCACCCTCCTCGCGGGCTGAGGGTCTTTGTCCAAAATGTTTTGAACAAGCACAACTCTGACGGTAATCGAACGCAATTTCGTTTTTGTTCCCCTCTCGCCATTCCTTTACCATTTACTCATGGTGAGAATTATTCCCCTCTCCGGCTAAAAATCCAGCAGACCCAGAACTTTCTGCTCTCTCTTCGGTGACATTCAGTCCTAGGGTCGTTTGAAGGCACAGTCTTCATTGGGTAACTGAAGATATAGTCTGGAATATTGTTGGAAAAGTCAAACTTAGTTTAGCCAGTACCAGAATCCTCTCTCCTACCCACCCTGGGCCTCTTCAGCTGGAAGTCTGCCCCGGGAAAGGGGGAACAAGGGCTGCCTCTTCTCCCTGCACCTCCTCCCTGAGCTGCTGGTGGCACGCCAGGGCCGGAGGCGCCAACGTGATAAGACAGCTCCTAGCGGAGCTGATGCCACAGTGAGTGCTAATGTCAGGCTCTCTGGGCTGGCAGGTGCTTAGAGCTCTCTCTTGCACACTTGTGTGTATGTACACGCCTCTCTCTCCCATGCACCCCCTCCCTCCCTCATGGGGAGTTTTTGTACATCTCTGGAGTTTCCCATCACGGAGACCTTTCTCCTGAGTTCCCACAACCAGGCTGAAAACCCTTCTGTTCCGGGGGGTCCCTTGCATTCCCCTTCTGGGCCCCGGTGAGCCACCTCCAAGAGCTCTCAAATGAGGTCTCCTCACCCATGCAGTTGGCTCTCTTAGGCGGGATCTAGATGACTCCTTGTTGACACTGTCTTCATGCTGGCTCACATCTGGATCTTAGGGGGCAGGCCCATCCTTGGTCCCGGCAAACTCTGGGATGCAGAGGGACCCAGTGCAGCTACTTCCCCTGGCTCAACTCAGTTTGGGCAAGTATTAAAAAAATAACGTAGAGTGGCTGGGTGGTTCGGTTGGTCCAAGTCTTGATTTTAGCTCAGGTTGTGATCCCAGGGTCGGGGGATTGAGACATGCTCGGTGTGAAGCCTGCTTGGGATTCTCTCTCTCTCTCTTTCCCTCTGCCCCTCTCCCCCATGTGCACTCTCTCTCTTTCTCTCTCAAAAAAATAATAATGTAGATGTCTACTTTTTATGTGGAAAATATCCACAATATATCTGTAATTAGAAAAAAGAGTTTGTAAAATCTCATTGCAGTATATCATATATATATTATCCAGATTATATATATTTATAATAGAAATATACAAATATACTACATATAATCTATAAGTATATAAATATATGATATGTAACATGAATATAGCATATGTAGCATAATATAGAAATACATATGACATTATATATAATGATACACACAAAAAATAAGAGCAGTGTTTATCTCTTTTGAACTATTTTACTTTTTTCTTTATGTTTTTGATGGTACCTATTTTAATAACAATTATATATATAGTTAAAATATATATTTTTTTAATGTTTATTTTTGAGAGAGACAGAGAGAGCACAAGCAGGGGAGGAGCAGAGAGAGAGGGAGAATCCTGAGCAGGCTCCACACTGTCAGCATTGAGCTAGACGAGGGGCTGGAACTCAGAACCGTGAGATCATGACCTGAGCTGAAATCAAGAGTCCAACACAACCGACTGAGCCACCCGGTTCCCCCTGGAATCTTCATTTTTTATTAATAATATATGATATTTGGCTCAGAGAAAGGTAAATACTCCAAAAGAACCATAAAGTGAATATAAAGCAGGCATGTATCCTGGTAACAACAATTATTAGGTTTGTCCATATTTTTTTCTAAGAATATACAAACATCCTTCCCTCACACACACAAAAATAGAAATTACTCTTATAATTAGAAAGCCTGCTAGTGTCATTTTGACAAAGCAAATAAATTGGAAAGGCTACTCAAAAGGATAAAATAGCATAAAACAAATGCAGTGAAAAGACATATTGTAAAGAATATACAAGATATTAAAAGAGACTATTAAAGAATTATTGTTGTGATGAATCACTGAATTCTACTCCTGAAACCTACACTGCATGTTAACTAAAATTTAAATAAAAAAAAGAGTTGTAAGTAAATCGTATTAACTAAGATAATATACTTAAAAATGCTTTGAGGAAAAACAAATCCCTCCTCTCTCCAAGAAGAATTGGCAAGCCCAGCGGTTGTGAGTCTACCGGGGCAGTCAAGGTGAGGAGCTCGAACAGAGGCAACTTTAGACCTTAAAGCTACATTCCACACGGTTTTCTAGATACCCTGGATCATCTCCGTGGGGAGAGATGTCCTAACCATTGCTTCAGGCTGGCCCTGGTTCGTCGTTGTTTTCCTTTGGCCATAACAGCAAGTGCAAACCTAATTCCATGCTTTCCCAGCTCGCAACCTTCAAAGCTCTTTCTCCGGTTCCCGCATCTAGCCCGCAGGAGCCTTGTCTTGGCGAAGGGCTCCTCCTCGCGGCTTCGCGGCTTCCGGGGCATCTCCCCCGCCCCTCCCCAACCACCCCCTCTTCCTGGTGCACTCACGGGATGGAAGCTGACAGACGCTGTTCCTCCGTCTACACTGTGCGTTTCCTGGACAGAGAGACCAGGGCCGTCTTGTTGCCTGTTGCATGAGCTCCAGGTCACATCCCATCCCCACGTGCAAATTAGACATCCCGACCTCCTTAAACAGGTCTCTGGTAGCCGGGTGGACTTACCAGCCTGACTGTGCATGTTAGGACAAGTTTCTTTGCTGGGTCTGTCTCCTTGGCTGTAAAATGAAGAGTGGGAACGCAGATCGTAGTTAAACATGCTGGCTGGGAGATGGGACGCTTTGAAGACAGAAAGAGAGAGAGATTTTTGCGTATGCCCCACGGCACCGCCCCCGGCCCCAAACCTGCACACAGCACACGCTCCGTGAAAGCTTGTGGAATTGATAACAACAAATGTGTGGCTTCCACTCAGTGCTTGGCGCTCAGAGGCCCTCAGTAAATAACTCTTAACGTCTGATGTAACGCGTGGCCTCCACCAAGTTTGCACCGTTCTTGGGCGCGTGTGTTCTCTAGCGCCCTGGTGAGCGAGGACCACAGTCGGTCCCCGTTCTCAACGGGTTCGAAGTTTACCGCAGGAGGCGATGGCGATAACTCGGTCGCTTTTCCTAATTCACTGTGTACAAAGGTGGAAAAGGTGAGGGAAGATAGGTAATTCTCGGGCTCCGGACAGGGTTGCGACAGGGCTGGATTCCGACCGCCCGGACAGACACGGGCTTCTGACCTTCTCATTGGCTGCCGAGAACCCGCCCAGGCCGCCGACAGCCAATCAGAGGCGCAGGGGGAGGGGGCTGCGCGTCGGGGAGCTGACGCCAGCACAGTTCGAGAAGAATGTCGCGGTCCGCGGCGGGCCGCGGGGGGTGCGGGAAGGCCGGGCCCGCGCGAGCCGAGCCCTTCGGCCGCTGAGCCGCCGGCCATGGAGGACGAGCAGCCCGACAGCTTGGAGGGCTGGGTGCCGGTCCGCGAGGACCTCTTCGCCGTGCCCGAGCGGCACCAGCTGCGCTTCCTCGTGGCCTGGAACGACGCGGAGGGCAAGTTCGCGGTGACCTGTCACGACCGCACGGCGCAGCGGCGGCGGCGGCGCGAGGGGAGCCGGCCCGAGCCCGAGCCCGCCGCGTCCCCCCCCAGCTGGTCGGGCCTGCTGTCGGCCGCCGGGCTCCGCGGCGCGCACCGGCAGCTGGCGGCGCTGTGGCCGCCGCTGGAGCGC